ACATTACGTACTGGTATATATATATAAACTTCTCAATAACTGGACCGTTTCATTCGAACTTATCGTTCTCGTAAACAATGTTTCCTGAAACAAAAAAGAAAAAAAGATTGATTTAAAAAAAAACCTACAACTCTACCTGCAATTGATATTGCATTTTAATTGGAAATAATCAAAATTTGAACTTCATAAAAAAAAAGTATCTTTAGTGGAGCAGAATTGCAAGACGACTTAAAAAATAATTAAATAAAATATTGAAAAAGAAAAGTTGCGCAAACCATACACTTTTATCTAATACAAGTAATTTTAGACTTGCCAATGAAAGTTACCTTAGCAAAAATTACGTAACCACTTTTTTTTATAGATAATTACGTTTGAATGTGCTATTTTTAATGCACCGTTCGTATTCTGGGTCAAACGGTGCCTCAATTTTACGGATTTGATTTAGAGTTCGTTCGCACTTCGTTAAAGAAGAGGAAGATCCGTTCGGAAGGTCACGTATCGAGTAGAAAAAGCGGGAAAGCTCAGAAGTAAAGGCCTTTCTGTCAAGTTTATCAATTAAATAGTTGTTTTCTGTTACCCGGAAGAAACGATTCACACTGATTCTGATTCATTCCACATTCCTTTCTAAACTTCACCTTCTTCTGGCATCCATCCATCAAATAAGAAATGATAAATGATCGAATTCAGGTTCAAGGAGAATCATAGTAATTTCAAAATTCGTTCATATGCAGTGCAGGTGCACTTTGAAGTAATAAATATAGGTTTTTCGGTAAATTGAATGATTTTTAAGTAGCAGGGGTGGCAAGTCTTAGAGGCCATGGAGGGTCTATACCTCACACTTTTCCTATCATATTATTGCGCAGTTTTTGATTAATGCCATCTGAGCCAAATAAAAAATAAAATGCATGTTAAGAATTTCTTTTAATAATGCCTCCCCTGATAGGGTCATTAGTTTAAGTTTTAATGTTTTCCTTGTAAATTCCCTGTAAATAGGTTTTAAACTGTAACACTTTATTTATGTTGAGACAATAATATGGGGCCAAATTGGCTTGTCATTCTCATTATTGCTGTTATAGAATATAAATTTGCATCGAACTTAATATGGCACCGAATTAAACCATAATTATCGAAGGCGCTTTAGAGTCAGATGATCAGAATGGTCCAGCGATAATGCTTTGTATCTATTATCTAAGTAAAAGATAGATCTCAGGTGTTGTAAACCAGTACCAGGTTCTTTTTCGCATTGACTTTAATCACTAGTCATTTTTTATCATTATTCTAGGAAGATTGGATTTGGAATTTGTTAGAATACAGAAAGGTCTTGTGGTCAAGTGTAGTTGTTTGTATGGGAAAGTAGTATTTCAGTCCATCGAAAATAAAAAAAGGCCTTAATTTGTTTAGCTCTCTGATAAACAGCAAAGATTTCTTTTATTTTTACTCTGGTTGAGGAGCCAATGAACAGGAGCGAGTCTAATTTGTTTTGCTGTGATATTATTAAAGTCATATTTAAGTTAAAATGGTTTCACTTGCATGATTTTAAAAAGTTTTTTTTTAATTTAAACTTATATTTCATAAATTTATGTAAAATTTGCTTTAAATAATCATGTTGTATAATTATATTCGTGATGTCGTAAAAATTGAGAAAATACCATCTCATTTTTAATGCGAAGTGCACTGTCAAATATTCAAGATCAAGTATCTGTAAAAGTACCGGTATTCAGCTTGCCGGTACTAATTACTGGTATAATTTTTTGGCAACGAACGTTCTGATCAGTTGGCAAAAGAAGGTATTTCCCTCCCAGCCTCTCCAAACATGGCCCTCACTTAGTCTGAATTATTTTCTATCCGCAAATCTAAAATTAATAAAGCTTGACTTGTTCCACCGGATCACAATTTATATCCCAGCAAGCGTCCTGGAGGAGCCCTTGACCTTCAGGGTACACATGCCGACCAAACTGCTACACGTAGATTTGTCAGTGGGCTTACTAGGAGTCTCAGTTTCAGTGGACAAATTAAACTTTTTCCAACTTGTAAAAAGTGCAACTCCAGCGAGGCTAGTCCTCACCATCTACTTGATTGCCTGGATTTCACAATGGAAGAGGCTCTTGAAGGACCTCTCCTTTTCCTCGATTTTTTGAAGAATCGCGGTCTCATGGATCTGGTATAGCTCCGCTATCCCAGCTGGGATTGGAAACAACAACAACCGGTATAATTACCGTAAAAAATCACTGACTCACTATAATTAAATAGATATTATTGTAAATATTTCAGTATAATATTTTACTATAAAAATGGATTTTGTGGGGAAATTGATTTTACTGATGATGCCTCCAAAGTATCGGTACTTTACACCGTATTTTGATCTCGAACTCCTTACGGTAAGTGGTGGCTGTTTATTGGAATCAAAATCTTCAATTACGAATACGATCTCGTTAAAAGCACCGGCCACTGTAATTTAAAAAATTACGACAGCGGCATTGAAAATGATTGAAATTGTTTTTCAGCGCATTTCCATATTTAGAATTAGTTTAAGTTTACTCAGCCATTTTAAAAAGAGTTAGAAAGCGCTTACAAAACATTAAATGACCAACTTAAATGACTGTCTTAGATTTGCTTCAAAAAATCTATATCACTGGATCGGATTCAAACGGTAACGCATCGCTACACTCGTTCGTGCTGATAATAAGGTGGTCAAGGCTAAAAAGTAGTATTATAGGGGTATTTGTCATCCACATTTAGAATGAATGCTTCGATGCATTTCGTCTGCAGAATCTCATCTTAGACTTAAAACAATAAGAAAGCAAATAAAGCAAAAGCAACTTGGAATTCCAGTTTCATGCCAAGCACTCAGATTATATGTGGAAATAATTATTCTAATTGTTATTTAGAAAGATTTTCCTAAATCTACAAATTTGAAATCCATTTAGGCCAACGGTATTATTTGTAATATTAATGACTTTAAGGATTTAGAATAGATTCCTTTAAATGCTGAAAATTTGGAAACAAAAAACACATTTTAAGCTAATTGTGTGCAATCAATAAAATTACTATTCAAAAATTTGTTCAACGTTTCGATTCATTATTTTTTTTTTAGTAAAAATGCCATGAATTTAGTGTCTTAAAATCAGAAATCTTTTGTAAATCACGAATTTTCTAAGCATTTGACTATGACGAATTAATTATCAAATAATTATTTATTTATTACGAATTATTTATTTAACTTTTTTTTCAAAAAGTTATTTGCTTTTTCATTTAATATTTTAATTTTAAATACTAGAAGCATATATAGTTGGTAAATAGTAACTGAAACAGGTAGCATCACTTTTAAATTACTTAACCAGTATTTTATTTTATATTGAATCATTCGAATATTTTATATTGAATCATATGAGAGCATTCAATTAAACTTTAAATTTTGAAACAATTTTGTATAAACAAAATTTTGTGGCTTATACAAGAAAAAAAGTATCGAACTAACAAAAGCTATTGAACTCATAGTACAATTTTTTTTATTTTTATTACAGTTATATGAGTGTAGGTTGCAAAACATAACACATTCTTGCAGTTTCTTGATTTCAGAAGTATTTAAATCATTTTAATTTTAGTTTAAAAAATGATATTAAAATTAAATAGCTTAAATTACGAGTTTGCCCTTGTGTTTTATTTCTTTCATTACCTTTTTAAATTTTAATAACTTATTTACATCACATTTGAAAAAATGAAAATAAGTACTGGAATTATTACTTGTTTAATATAGAAATTGGAGCTACTTCGTTTAGTGTGATTTTTCACTAAGTGTTGATTTATTAGAAAAATATATTGGTATGAAATTTTTGATAAAATAAATGTAAAAAATTAAAGAAGAATTAAAATAGTATTGTATTATTTAAAATGTGATAAGTTATACAAAGCTTAATTGAAATTTAATAAAACATTAAACTCTTAATTTAAATATTTTTTATGAAATCTTCGTAATACAATATAAAAATAATTTTACTAACTTTGTCTTAATAATCACTCATAGAAAAGGCCGAGATTTATTATTATTTTTTTTCTTTTTAAAAACTGACTATAATCCAGTTTACTTAAATTCCTAAAGTTACAAAGCAATCATAATTA